AAATATGAATCTTGTTTTTTTTTGAATACTAGAAATCAATATTTCAATGAAAACACGTGTTTGGAACAGGAAACAAGTAGTGTTTACATTAATGATGAAAGCAGTAAGCAACAGGATAATTGTTTGCATTTTGATGAAATATGTTAATATTTAATGCATTTATATATCATTGAAGATGATTAGAATAATTTTTCGGAATGAACAAAAGAGAAACTTAAGTAGATTGAATTTTGTTATAGTTTAGAAGTTATTAATATCGTGGGAACCACTTGGAAACAGTTTCATTGACTGTCGTTTTTTTAGCTGTGTTTTTTTTTATTATGCTAAAAAAATTGTGATTCTATAAGTACATATGAGTAAACAAATGAGGAAAAAAGAGAGATAACAAAAATAAAGAAAATCATAACAACAGGTTGTATAAGAAAATAGTGAGGTCTACCAGAAAAAAAATTAATCCATGGAAACAAAAGATTCTGGGAAATTCTCAAAGAGTTGGATTTCATCGATCTCATAAACAGATACCGAAAAGGGAGAGAAGATAGAAGCCATCCAACCAACAATTTTTTCGATTACTGAATGGTGAGGAATAAATCTTTTTGATGTTCTCAGACATTTTATTGAAAATTGTTTTTCAATCCAAATCTATCTGAATACATTCATATGAACTTTTTCAAACAATAATTCACCATCTATCGAGTTTGCTAGAGCTGCAAGATATTTCTCCCAATAAGAAAAGCATCTATCTTCAAGGGACTTCTCATCATGAGCAGATGCAAAAAAACTTTCATTCAAATTTAGACAATACAATACACGCCTGAGCGAAGTATAATAAAAATGAGATAAATCTTGTTGTTGTTTTTCAGAAAGAAGAGGATAAATCTAGATAAAAATAGGTAATACAAAGGATAGAAAAAGAGTCTTACTAAGATAAGGAGAAGAACAGTCAAATACCTTAAAAGATTTAATTAAGGAAATTCTTTGCCTAATTTTAGTCACCATACATTTTTTAAATTTATCCCAACCTAACTTTGATGAAATTAGATAATCAAGGTACTTTTATTCTAGGACCCATTTAATTATTTTTGTTTTGTTCCATGACAAAAAAGAATGACGAAATTAGGATAAACGATTGCTCGTGCACGGAACATAGCTTTAGTTTTATTGATATTAATAGGCTGATTAGTTAAACAAGAATAATATTCAAGTTAATCAAAAAAAAATTTAACTCTTTTTTTTCTAAATCAAGACATTGAGACTAATGATTTATTCCTAATTGACCAGCCATAATTTCAGCTAAATCGTCAGCAAAAAAAGTGACTTATGCAATCAGATAGAGAACTACTCATATCACAATTATATGTAATGAATAAGGTTGGAGTAAGAATCTTCCTTGAGAACCACCTTTTTCGATAGAGAACCAACAAGATTTACTGTCATTGATTTCTATGAAGCAACGTCTGTTATTTAACCATGATTCAATCCAATTTAGAAAAGATAAAGAGATATCCAAATTTCGTAATTTTCCAATGCAACCTAGAAACCACAGTTGATCAAAGGTAGCGTGAAAATCTACAAAAATGGTACAAACTGGAGCATTATTTGACATAAGAATATATATATCTTCAAGAAAGAGAAGTAGACATGTTTGTAAACGAAAGCATTCTCTAAAATCTGATTGACTGTCAGGTAAAAGATCTCTTCTAAATAAAAGATCACGAAATCGAGTAAGACAGAGTTTCTTACCTAGTTTTTGAAATGAATCGAGAAGTGAAATAGGACGAGTTAAAGACGATGGACAAATGAAATTTTTTTTTGCTAATAAGATGATTCGGGTATCTTTTCATGTGGAAGGTAAAGCTGACTTTTGAAAAGAATGATTGTAAAGTTTTAATAATAAAGACCCGTAATTAAGATCAAGAAAATTAAACATATAATTCAAAATACCATGAGCATCTAGAGATTTTCTTTTCTTTTTAGCTAGAACTGTATTTATAAATTCATCTAGTGTTACTTCAGGAATAACTTGATTATTATTATCATATTTAATTGGAGGCGAATCAGTATATGAATGAGGTCTAATAATATTTGATGCTTTAAAAAAAATCGTAATAATCAGCTGTTACATTACACGTAAGATCACTTTCTTTGACAATTTGCTCTGATGAATCAATAAAAGCATATAGAGAAGAGGATAACGGTTTGAGAAAACGTTCACTTCTATACCAAAATGAGTTAGATGATGAAGAAGGAGAATTATACGAAGACGAAGAAGATTATTAAATTGAGAAGAAGAAAAACGATTAAGTTCCTTTTTAGCAATTTTTTTCAAAGAAACATACCTCCTTTTTTTATTATGCTACATTTTGTTCTTATTTGTCTAAAAGACAAAGCTGTAGTATAGGATAAGAACGATCTTAGTTCAACAGGTAAAGCTGAACAATGTTTGTCTAAATAAAAAAAGTTTGTACAACTAGCAGGCAAGAAATATAAAACACGGATGTAATCATTATATGTAATGTCAATAGAAGAGAGGTTCCAATTCTCTTCCCAAAAACAGAATGTGTATTCAGAAAAAAGTGAAAATACTTTCCAATGAGTATTTTTTCCTAATTTTTGTTGTAAAACTTTCAAGAGAATAACAGAGAGTATTGGGAGATGATCACTAGTTATATTTCCATTATATACTTGAATATCAAAATTCAGACCTCAAACAAATGCATAATCGATTACTCTATCAGATTGGAAAGACGTTGAAGAATTCGGTAGAGCTTGAGCTAGAAATTGTTCATCAGCCCATTGAAGAAATATTTCAGCGTTCTTTCCATACTGCATGATATTAACATTAACATCACCATAAACAATACATTTTTTTGATAAGAAATAAGACAGATCATCCGATGACCATGTTTCACTATCAGGTGCATGTACACCGATTAGTCTAAAATCTTCTTCACCTTTAATATTGACTACACAAACATTAGGTAACTTGCAGGGAACTCTACGTATCGAAATATCTTCTTTAATAATCATTAAGACACCACCATTTCTATTTTCAGTTTTTTGATAAAAAAATCTATAGTTATAGAAAATTTTTTGATGAAATGAAATGTCTATATCACCGGTTTCAAGAAGAATAAGAGCATCAAATGTAAATGACGAAATAAGAAGAACTTCTTGTCATCTAAAATCAAGTCTACGAACATTAAATGTAATCAAAATGATTTCATTGTGGCGCTGTATTCTATGTGATATGGACTTTACAATTATGACGTTCTTCTGGTTGCTATAGCATTTTCTTTTAGTCTTTCGCTTTCATACATGTCGTTTCTCGTATTGTCAATATACACCATAGGATGCGCGACAGATAAAACTCGTTGTTTACATTTTGATGTTGCGCTGAAAATTGGTAACCCTTATAATTATCAATAAAACTGCTTTGTTAAAAAGAAAAAAATCTCTCTTTCTACATTATTTGTTATTGCAGGAATAGACAAAACTGAACGACTGTTACTGCCTCTTGTAACTCATTCTCAATGTTTACGACGCAAAGACAAAAAAGAAACACTTTTTTCAAAAATGGAAACTTAGAAAATGGCTGTTCAAATTTACAGGGTATGAAGGTCTCACCCTGTGGTATCTTACCCTGCCCTGTGGACATCTCTATTGTAAACATTTATAACATTGATTAGAGTTTTTCTGTCTTTTAAATGATCATAATTTGAATATGATTTTCTCTGTTTTTTTCTCCATTATAGGATAACAAACAAGATCTAATACATTTGGCATATAAAAATTTCGAGGTTTTCGAACGTAAATCAAGATGATGAGTGATTAAACTTGTCGTTAATTTTAAGTGACGTTTTCGTTTTTTACTCTTACTCAAATTGACATTTTTCTTCTTCCATATTATTAGGACATTTCGAACAGCAATAAGTCATTGCATTGCTTATCAACAACTTTTCACTTTCGTATAATTTTGTTAGCTGATCAAGACAAACACTCATAATTGACATAAAAAATAAGAATGAATCTTTTTAATAACCGACTTCAAATTGAACATAACGAAAATTGCAAGTATTTTCCGAAACTGAAAAATATTTTCATTAAATTTGTTTTTCCTGCAATGAAATCAAAAATCCTTCTGATTAATAGCCCTAAAGTTTAAAAAAAGAGAGTAAATAATTCTGGTAGAGTTAATATTGCTCTTCCTAAAATACTCGTTGTTAGCGCGAGATTCAATGTGCATGTATCCTGTGATTGAGACAATACAACAATGACAATTACTTGTATCAAATGAGAAACGATATGCTATTGAATATTTTTTAATGCATATAAATTTCAAGAGTATTCCATCAACACTCGGAAATAAAGGTTGATTACTCGAACTTGTTTGTCATATAATTCTTTGAGTAATTGCTGCATGTATAGATTAAGAAAAGAAAGACATAAAATCATGAATTTTTTTATTTTATTATCAAGAAAAAAAATCATAGAATTCTTTTTGATTAAAGTAAAAATCAATCAATTTATATAGGTGTAGCAGTATCAAATGAATTGAAACTATCACGTATTCGTTGATTTCGAAATTAATCTTGTTTATTTTTAACTCCTATAACTCCATAAATTGAAGAACCATGTTGTGAATTAGCAGCAATTTTACTAAAACTCGTGTATCAACAGGCATTTCTTTTGAATAATTTGATTGTTGTGCTAAACGTTCTTTTCGTGAAACTGATTGTTCAACAATTAACATTGTTTTTGCCCATTGTCGAGGTCATTCTTTTCTTTCGTTCATTTACCATAGCATATGTATTACCTATCACTAAATAACATTAATTAATCAAAGAAAAAAACAAAACAAAACTTGATGCTAATCATTTCGAACAGAAATAACTCATCATATGTTAATTGATAATCGCTTATTGGTTTTAATGTATCAACAACGAATAAAAAATTAAAACATTCAATAATCAAAAGTTGTACGTATATTCGTTTGTTTAGCAATTAAACTAAGAAGTATTTTTAATAGATTTAAGATAGACACTGGTAGTGAAAATTTTGAGAGCAAGGAGAATGTGTGAGGGAGTGTGGGTCTTGTCTCCAATTACACCTGCAGTTCTTCAATTAGATGTACTATTAAAAATAAATTTAATAGTATTATATTTAATCAATCAAAAGTTATTTCTCTTCGTTGTAAGTATAAAATAACTGATATAGGATCTTAAATAACATGGTTTTTTAGGCACATTAGCGAATTGAAATGAACCTTTTATAATAAAGATATCATTCGATAACATTCAATAGCAGACGATATTCGTTTACATGTTCAACATATACAAGTAAAATAGATTATTTGATCTTTCTATTTAGTTATTTACCAACATAATTACCAAAACTTATTCAAGTTTGATTTGATTATTTTTAATCTAATCAATTATTATCTATTTGATTTAAATTAAAAATATACCAAATTCAATTTATGATCTTTAAATATGTCCTTCAATAAATATACTTGATATACTTACTTTTTATTCAACAGTGCGTTATTTATTATTGTGAACAGTATCTATACAATCGTATAATTTTTCATCAACTTGTCGTGCTATGGCATGTCATTCAAAACGAGATGAAATTCTTATATATGATAAAGATGAACTTATCTTATACAATGTTCATGGTACTTTGGTAAGTAATATTTTTTTTTTAATAACTTAATAAATTTAGAGTGAAATTGTATCACGATTGACTATAAAAGATGGTTTTTCTATCAGGTATTACTTGGTATTCAATCCTTGATTATTTTCATGTTTTTGAGTTGCATTACTCGCGAATTATTTGATACAAATTTAGATGTAAATACTAAGATTAAAGAAATTCATGGTACTCAATAAAATCATCTTATTTCTTTGACTTATGTGGAACAAGATAAAAGCGTTTTGTATTTGTTGTCATGATTCAAAAGAAGACTTAATTAATAAAGATGATGCTAGTAAAAAATAATAAATTATATTTCAATTTTTATTTATTTTTGATTATTACTATTTTAGATATTCAATACGTTCATGTTAATCCATTTTGTTCATTACTATTTATGGAAATGGAATTCATGAACGCTTTCTTTTACGTATTGATCGTCAAATAGGGAAATCAGAAACAATTATTGTTGTTTCTATACTTAATACTTGTACGTTAGATGAATAGTACTTAGGGCATACCAAAAGTAGTGACCACCGCATCTTAATTTCGTATAGAACCCTTAAGAAAAATGTCTTTTTTTATGAACAGATCGAGTGTCGTTTGCTCTATTTTTCTATGCTATTTGATCACTATTCAACTAATATCATGATAGTAAAATTTCGATAAGATCTGTTTCTTTTGCGTATGTCCTGGTACCCCAACCATGAATGCTCGTGAGTATTTTTTGAATAACGTTTGACAGGAACAAGATAGAGAGCTGCGGTTTTCACCATTAGAAAGAGAGGATGAAGACGTATCGGACCACATGTTATCGATTTTTCTAACCTGTTTTTTGTAATGGCTTCAGTTGACCTTTTGAAGAACAACCCTATCCCATGAGTTGTTTACAATGAACATTCAATAATCAGGGTTACATTCAAACCGGGAATCGAAGATCTACAAACTGCGAAAGACTCAGACGTTTAAATTCAATTATTTAGAGATAATACGCATTCTAGACGAACCTCTACTACGATTTTCTATCAACTTTTTTGCTTTTTCAGTTTTTCATAAAAAAAAACATTTTTCCAACGGTTAGAAAATTCCATAAAAACAACTTCAGAAATTATATTAAGAAAATTACTAATACACAACTCGATGCATCTTCATCTCCTCTTTTTAATGGTGAAAACCGCAGCTCTCTATCTTGTTTTTATCAAACGTCATTCAAAAAATACTCACGAGCATTCATGTTACCAGCACATATACGAAAGAAACAGGTCTTATCGAGATTTTATTATTATGATATTAGTTGAATAGTGATCGAATAGCATAGAAAGATAGAGTGAAAGACGCTCTATCTGTTTATAAAAAAAGAAAATTTCCTTAAGCGTTCTATACGAAATTAAGATGCGGTGGCCACTACTTTTGGTATGCCCTAAGTAATATAATTGTATAAAAAATTAAAATTCAATATTAACAAATTTTGATTTTGACGAATTGATACTTTAACGAATGTAGTATTTAGAGTTTAATAGAGTATTTAAAAAGCCGAATTGTAAAAAAAAAACGAAATTTGCAGAAAATTTTCTATCTCTTAAAATCAGAATGGATTATTTTAATACAATCTAACTAGGAAAACAGACAATTGAATCTGCGACATTTATTATCTTATATTATATCGAGTCAAATATACAGCTTAGAGTATTAGAATTTTAATATCTTATAGTTTTCATTATCTCAAGTGTTCAAAAACATGTTTCTGTAAATTGAAACGACTATGTGTATGATAAAAAATAACGATCACTTAAATTAGTATTCATAATTGTCATTTGGCTTTATTCCAAAAAAAAAACTATCAGATATGTTGAAAGATAAGTTTCATTTGAGTAAAAAGTATAATTAATAAATACTGTAAAATATTTCATTTTCAACTCTGATAAACATAACATTGAAATATGAAGTAAATGAATAGAAATAACATCACCATTTTATCGCGATCACGGTCGTCAGGATGAACCACAGCACTTTGTATTATTACTTATGAAGCTGTTAAATAAGAATCATACACAATATTCAATAGCTTAATATCTATTACATGCATTTATCGCAATCGAACGTATGTAAACATCTTATTTCATTATGTGCATCAGATACATTACCTATTGATAATGGATTATGGTTAGCACCATATTTATCTACATTCATCAATTTTTATCATTTATTTTTATCCAATACTTCTCTCATCATGTTTGACATACATTTGCCAACTAACTATTGTGCTGTTTAGACATTTGAAGGTGTGTTTGAAGTTGCATATTATGAAAGAATATTTGGCTTATTTCCTTTGTTACATCTATGTCACCTCCGTTTTCGATGGTGTATACAAAAGACTCAAGATAGTCAAATGGTTCTATCAGTAAATGAAACTTTCATGCCGATTGAAACAAGATCTTTAAACTTACCATTAATTGTACTTCAGCAATGTTCATTAGCCTTTCTGTTACAGTAACTTAAACTTTCATCCATAATTGCAAGAGCTCAGCTCTTGAACTCGAAATAAAAAATATTTAAATGCATATAATCGTATTATCGTAAAAGATTATTGTTGCAAGTGAATCATTTCTGAATTGATAATAAAGTGTTTAATAGTAAGATGGAAATCCGAAAAAGTTAAGAAGTTGAAAATAAATTGTTTCAAAGATCTTTAAAAAAGTCAATGAATAAGAGAAGATTTATTGGAATTAGCTAAATATATGGAATTCTGCGTGCATCTTTAGATTAATGAATGCTTTAAGACATGAGCAACATCTTGTGTTTCTGATGAGATGAAAACATAGTTTACCGTTTTTTCCTTAGCATCGTCATACTTCTCGATATATGTTTCAAAGAAAAATTCTTCTTTTGTTCCTCGGTCTCAAGTGAATTCATTGACATCTATTTCAAACTCGAGATGTAAATAAAACAAGTTATAACTGGATATAGAAAGCTTTAAAGTTACTTTCGTTCAAAAGATATCTATGCAGTATTCAAAGATGAGGAATTTGGAAAAAGACAAAAGATTTTATAGAAACGAGAAAGTACTAGACGATAAAAGACTTTACACTGGAAAAACTCTACTTGTCATGAACCCTTCATCCTTATAGAAATCATTGACTTGCAATGAGAGTTTACACAAGAAAAAAAGGCTTTTTTTTTTATGCGACAAATCATCATGTTATAACAAGCCTTTGATCTTCATACCCATGGATATTTGAGTAAA